GCATAATTAAATTTGCTTAAGGGTAATTCCAACTGCATCCTCAGATGCACAATGCGACATTCAAACTTCAAATAGATATGTAGTTACATAGTTGTGGGAGTGGGATATAAGTGCAATGGGATACAACAACTGTATTAGGAACAGTAGTCATAAACCTTCCAATAGCTTTAAACTGGTTTAGCAGAAATATCTCAGCATCTGTTAATAGTGCACAATATGGTTGGCAAGTAACTGTGCTCGGTTCGGGCCACGGGGGGTGCTGTCACTCCATCATCCCTAAGTCTTTGTTCATAAACTTCCTCCTTGATTGAATTGCCAGGATTTTTCTAGCATTTACTTATGTGTGCCTAAATACCTCCCTGCTTTTAAAGCGGCATCTGTTTATCTACTCTCAATTGCTGCTTACAGTCTGCTAGGTTGGCAGGAGCTGGGCTGAAGGCCAGGAGCTCACCCTGAACTGGGCGTTGAACTGCCAACCTTCTGAATAGCCAGATTTACAGCAGCTGGTGGTAAAGTTGCTGTGCTAATATGTTTAGGATGGAGAAAAGAAGCCCAAAGATGCATCAACACTGTAGAAATAATGCAATTTGACACTATACTTTAACTGCAATGGCTTAGTGCTATGAAATGCTGGAACCTGTAGTTTAGTGAACTATCAACACTCTTTGGCAGAGAAGATTATCTCTATTTCTAAGCCCAAGAGCTGGCATTGTCCATAGACAATGTGGCTGGCATGACTAAATGGAGCACCATTACCTTCCTGCCGGAGAGGTACCTTTTGATCTACTCACATTTGCATGTTTTCGAATTGCTAGGTTGGCAGAAGCTGGGGCTAACAGCGGGAGCTCATGCCGCTCCCTGGATTCGAACCTCCGACCTTTCGGTTACCAAGTTTAACAGCTCAGCAGTTTAACCCACTGCGCCACTGGGAGATTCAGCGTAACCACATGTGTATTTAGGCATAACCACATAGATATACAAATATATATACACACAAAACACATATACACAGACTGGGCCACAGCAATGCGTGGCAAGGGACGCTAGTAAAGATATAAAATGGCAAAAAAGGGGGTGCAGAGATGTCTGTCTACTAAGTGGGCAGGCTATAATAAAAGTCTAAATAAATTCTTAAGTTTTACAAAACTTAAAGTGCAAGTAATGATCTCATATAAGAAGCACAGCATGAGAACCTTCCTTTTTCCTCAGTATTAAACACAAGAGTTATGTTGTGTATATCCTTAGGCTTAAAAAGAAGTGTTTTTTCCTGCAGAAGGCGCACTCTCTGCTTAGACTTCCTTCCTGGAGGAAAGGATTGGCCAGGGAGAGACTGAAAGAAAAATCCTTGCAATGCTTTTGAAGGTACGATGGCCCTTTGCATCATGGTAGTTGTAGTTCCCTTTAAGAGGCCACCCAATCAACAAATCGGTGTGTCCAGCAAACTACATGTCCCAGAAACGCTTGCAAAGAAACACAATGGCGGGGTAGATTGCAAAAGCTGCTTTTACTTTTGATCAAAGTGCAGCAGGAAATATAACTCCTCTTTCTCTCGTTAAGTCCGGGACAATGTTTTCAATCTTTGGCATCGGAGGGGAAAGGAGTTTGGGTGTCATCTAAGGGTAATATTTATTCAAGGCAGCCATGCCCCCCTTCGCAGTCTTTTCCTCCTTTCTGCGGGGAATGCACTGCAATGACAAGGTGCTGGGGAAGTGGTTGCATTTGCAGCATAGGAAAGCGCTTGAAAGGACTTTGGGGTGCTTCAGGGTCGGGGCAAGCCCAGGGGAGTATAGTTTGCACCCTGGAGTAGCTTCTGGGGGGCTACCACGAAAGGTGTGGACGCCAGCGGGGGCCTTGAGGGCTGGGAAAGGCCAAAACAGCTCCCAGGTCCCTGTGCAAAGAAGCCAGAAAGGAGGGACCTCTCTCTCAGCTGCTCAGAAAGGTAAGAGATGCCTATGGCTGTCAACCAAAGTTAGGCAATGAAGGCTGAAATGCTTCTGTCCTCTTACCTGGAAATAAACCTGAGTATTGCTTTCAGTTGATATGAATAGGGTGCATCGTGCCATAACTTTGGTGCATCCCCTTCCAAGGAGTGCATCTGCACTGCAGAATTAGTGCCACTTTAACTGCCAGGGCTCAATGCTATGGAATCTAGGGAGTTGCAGTATGGTGACGCACCGTGCTTTGGCAGAAAAGACTAGGGCCTTATCAAACTTTTGTTGTTCATTCATTCAGTCGTTTCCGACTCTTCGTGACCTCATGGACCAGCCCACGCCAGAGCTCCCTGTCGGCCGTTACCACCCCCATCTCCTTCAAGGTCAAGCCAGTCACTTCAAGGATCCTATCCATACATCTTGCCCTTGTTCAGCCCCTCTTCCTTTTTCCTTCCATTTTCCCCAGCATAATTGAATTCTCTAAGCTTTCCTTTCTTCTCGTGATGTGGCCAAAATACTTCATCTTTACCTCTAATATCAAACTTCTCTACTTATCAAACTATGAGTCCCCAAATCCCATAGATTAAGCCATGGTACTTAATGTGGTGCCAACCGCATTAATTCTATAGTATAGGTGCACCCTTGCTGTCAATTGAGCTGTGGTATCCTGCAAGATGTAGTTTTGCAAGGACTTTTGCCTTCTCTCCCCCAAGCATGCTGGACCCTCATCAAACTACAATTATTATACCATTGTATCGAGCCACAGCAATTAAAGTGGTATCAAAACGGCATTAATTCCACAATGGAAGGAGGTCAATTTACAGATACGCTGTCCAATGTTATGGTCTGAATGCCTGTCAGCCAAAATAGGTTTTTAATGTGGTACACAGAGAAAGCATGTAAAGTATGACCTCTATACAACTGACATCAAAAAGCCGCACAACTGCACTTTGTACAGTTTAAAACTACTTGGCAGAGTGCAAAAATATTCTGACACTTAGAGCCCTTCCTCACAGCCATATAACACAGAATATCAAAGCAGATAATCCACAATATCTGCCTTGAACTGGATTAGCTGAGTCCACACTGGATATAATCCAGTTCAATGTGGATTTTATACAGCTGTGTGGAAGGGGCTTTAGTCTGTCTTTACACACTATAGAATTAATGCACTTCACTGTAGCATTAATGCAGTTTGATCCCACTTTAAGTGCCATAGCTCAATGGGAAGTTATAGTTTGATGAGGCATTAACACTGTTGGACAGAGAAGGTGAAAGATCTTGTAAAACTAGTTGCCATGATTCCATAGCATTAAGCCATGACAGTTAAAGTGATGCCATTCTGCATTGATTCGACAGTGTAGATGTACCCTTAGGGACCATCCAGACATGCTCTATATCCCAGGATCTGATCCCAGGTTTTCTGTTTATCCCAGATTATTTGGCAGTGTGGACTCATATAATCCAGTTTAAAAGAGAAATCCTGGGATCAAATCTTGGTATATAGTGCCTGTATGGAAGGGCCCCAGATTATATGAGTCCCAACTGCTAGATAATCTGGGATAAACAGAAAACCTGGGATCAGATACTGGGGTATATTACCTATCTGGAAGGGCCTCAGATGAGAAGGAATAGACCAACTTCACACTTTTTGAGGTTGCTGAGACATGCAAAGTAATTTCCATTGTTTTTGAAACAAAAGCTGCTACTTTCATATCTTTACCAAATTAGAGGAAACCACTAGGAGCATGCTGTGTTACCTGCTATTGTATAACTTTTCTTTTTTTTCTTCTAGTGAAAGAAGCTGGAAGAGATTTCACCTACTTGATAGTGGTGGTAGTCGGGATTGGTGTCACAGGTTGTTGAAACTGAATGAAAACATTTTCCCAACTTACAAATGTTTTAAGTTTTGGCCATTTAAGTACACAAATTCTTGTGTCATTTACATTTTATTTCCCCTCTGTTTCAGGTGGTTTATTCTATGTGATTTTTAAAGAGTTGTTCTCTTCTTCCAGTCCTAGTAAAATCTATGGAGATGCCTTGGAGAAATGCAGAGCTCACCCTGAGGTTGGTTTGCCTGTTTTTATGAAGGAGTGTTTCTCTCTGAAAGAGTGCCCTTTTATGTGAAAGGAAGCTTTGCCTTCTAGAACTCTTTAAATGTGGGAATGAGTGGCTAAAGGTCTGTTTTTTGTGCTGCCAAAACAGGAGAACTAAATCTGGATTTTCTTAGCAATTTTTAAAATGTTATCACTACTGGAACCTGTCCTAGTAGTTAGGGAAAGTAGTTGCTTTGCAAAACAGCTACTAAAAGGAGACATATAGAAGGATCAATTTATACTATCTGAAACTGGAATTTTACATTTCACAGTATATGCCCTTTGCTAGGTAAAGCTACTTAATTAAGCTTTTGTTTACTTAAAAAAACACAATCTATGCTATATAATTCATCAGACCTTATTTTCCATTGATAAAGGAGTCTGAATTTCACATAAGGTGCTAGAATTTATATTTTTGGAAAATGGAGAATCAGTTTCCTGCTTTTTTCCCCCTCCCTCCCTAGCCCTTCCTACACTACCATATAAAATCCAGATTATCTGCTTTAAACAGGATTATATGGCAGTGTAGACTCAGGGGCCTTCTACACTGCCATATAATCCATATTATCAAAGCAGATAATCCACATTATATGCTTTCTATTGGACTATATGAGTCTACACTTCCATAGAGCCCCGGTGGCGCAGCGGATTAAACCACTGAGCTGCTGAACTTGCTGACCGAAAGGTTGGCAGTTCAAATCCAGGGAGCGAAGTGAGCTCCTGCTGTTAGCCCCAGCTTCTGCCAATCTAGCAGTTCGAAAACATGCAAATGTGAGTAGATCAATAGGTACTGCTTCTGCAGGAAGGTAATGGCGCTCCATGTAGTCATGCCAGCCACAGGTGTCTATGGACAATGCCGGCTCTTCGGCTTAGAAATTGATAAGAACACCACCCTCCAGAGTCGAACACAAGTAGACTTAATGTCTGGGTAAAACCTTTACCTTTACCTACACTGCAGTATAACCCAGTTCAAAGCAGATAATCTGGATTTTATAAGGGAGTATAGAAGGTGCCTCATATAATCCAGCTCAAAGCAGATAATGTGGGTCAACTGCTTTGATAGTCTGGATAGCAGTGTAGAAGGGGCTCCCAAATCCCTGGGATTATTCTAGATCAAATTTAAGACCATCACATCACTCACTATAGTCTCATTTCAATACCTGCAGACTCCTCTTCCACCGCAAATAATCATGTAAATACATTTCTTCAACATCAAATCTCTTCTTTTATCTCTCTCTCTCTATTTTCAAATATATCTTCTTGTCTGATTAAGTGATCGGCAAATCTCAGAAGCTTTTGCATGTTTGTGGTTAGCATTACACTAATAGGGATTATAGAATTACACTAATAGGATATTATGTTAATAGGGATTTTAGAATTTTCTTTATTCGTTCTGTTGTCATGGATATTCCCAGAGATACTTGGCAGTATCCTTGATGAAAGAACAAGACGCAAGACAGAAGTAGCATCAAAATACTGGGCAGGGAAGATCAGTTTACCCTGATTATCTAGCTTTAGTAATTTTTCAAGTGTGCTGTATTAATGGGAAAATCTTCCCATATCACCCCAGATGCCAAATAATCTCCTGCCTCAGACTCCGTGTTCAAATACATGTTAGGATGTATGTGTTAGTCTGGGTACCCATTCTTCACAGGACACCTGTTAGCCCCGATGGATGGTGGTTGCTCTGCACTATTGAACATTTTATGACCTATTGGAATTAAGTGCACCATAACCTTATTGAAAAGGTAAAAATGATGTCACATTTGTTTGGCAAATGTGAATCTCCATGAACATAGAGACCACCTTTTGAAAACCACTAGTCAAGTAAAGCATGACCTTGTTAGAAGTCAGCCCTATGCAGAAGTGATATTCATAAACATTCATGTAATGGCACACAGGTAATTCGGCTGTTTAACTGAAGAACCATGGCTTTAAACTGTCAAGGATAAAGACATGCCACTATAAAAATATATTTGGTTAGCAGAGAATGGTTGTTTCTTCGAAGTAGAATTGCCCTTGAAACCTCTTAGTTAAAATATGCACTCAGAGATAAAAACAAAGAAATCGTCTTTTAAAACAACATCTCAAGTTTACTAACAAGCTTCTTGTTATATTCAGCATACTAGTCCATAGGCCAGTGTCTTTAAGCATATAGATATAGTTCAAACTGTATAACCGTACTCATTGAAGTCTGAAAGGAGACAAACTGCATTGACCTCCATTGAAGTCTAAAGGCATATTGTACTAAAGTCCAAAGAGCAACATGCATGCACCTCCATTGAGGTCTGATGCAAACTGAATACAAAATGGAGTCCTGTGTCTGAAGCCCCTCCCACACCAAAAAGGTACAGTCAAACTGGCAAACCAAAATGTACACACAATATAGGTTAACAGTTACACATATTTACAAACAGTTAGTAAAGGATTTGGAAGGTTGCTATTTCCAACTTGCACAAACTGAGAATGGACCCTATAACATATTTAGAATATTTTGGAAAATATGACTGTGGACAAGTTGTTTGGGAAGTTTCTATTGGGATGAATGGATCACAACCTATTGGGGATTATGGTTTATGACCTGTTGGGATCATAACCTATGGGGTAGCAGAGTCATGGAGGTGTTCCTTCAGTTTATTGAGTAATGGATGATCGCTGGGCTCGTAAATATCTTGTTTCTATTCAATGCTCTCAGCAGACAAAAATTCAAGTAGACTTCTTTTAAAATAACAGATTTTTTTACTTCATGTATTTAAATGCACAGGCACATTTCTTGTCAGGTTAAACTTTAAAACATTTCAGTTTTATCTTTAAGCTATTTAACTTATTGTCTTCAACAATCTCTTCAAAACTATATTGTACAGTTCTCTTTCATAAGAGTCTACTTTCAAAGAATTCAAATTTCAACAGTTTTCTAACTCCCTACACTGACATTTGACTGAAAAACAGACTTCTGTACTCAAGCTGACTCAAGGCTTAACTGGTTTCTAACTTCTAACACTGGCTTCTGTATTTTTACAGTCTCAAGCCTCATCTGTCATTCCTCAACTGTCATTGTGTTTAAAAAGTATTCTAAACAGTTACATGATCTACAGCCCCTCCCACTGCTTTAAGTACATAGAGCTAAGGAAACTGCAAACCAAAGAAGACATACACATCAGGAAACAAAACAACACATTATAAACAGATAAAACATCAAATAGAGGAGGCTTGAGAAGGTTCCAACAGTTTTTGTAGCTTTACTTGTGGTTACGGAGAAAGCTTTTCACTTAAGACTCACTAGGAGATGAACGACTAAACATGTTGTTATGTCTCTACTGATTAGGTAATCGGTGTTTTTGGTGAACCCATAAAAGGTTATGGAGAAGCAACGCGCCGTGGGAGAAGACAACTGGTCAGGTACTTATTAATGCATCTCTGTTAGAAACACCAGTTCCCTTCTATGAACAAGTTGCTTGTTTCATTCATCTTACTTGACTTTTGTCATACTGGCTTGATTTACCATCCCGTAAAGCAGAAGGAGATGAAAAAGGAAATAATCTTGAAGCCTCAACTGGTAGTTTGATTTGAAGCTTGAGGCCCAACTCTGTTCTTTGTTAATGGATATGTTTGCCAAGCTTACTAAATCCATTTACAGTAGATTTTAGGGAGGCTGAAGGGCGTCCTGCCCCATCTCCCCTTTGGATAGTGATTCATGTGTGTCTTCTGCACAAACTGTGGAAGAGGCACATGCAACAGTTGAGAACCTTGTTGCAGCTATTACTTTCCTAGAAAGGAGGGGGAGATACAGCTCCATATTTGCTGCAATATTGCTGCACATAAAAGCAACCAAGAAGAGTATGCATCATCTAACTTGGCATATAAGTGTATCATTGACTTAAGTGTAAAAAGCTGATCTATGGATAGACTCAGCCAGGGAAGCCAAGCATGAATCTGCCAGACCTGAGCAGGGCTTTTGAGAGTATGGTAACTTTGAGGTCTTTCATTCATATGGTTCCCATAAGTCAGAGTCAGCTTGAAGGCAGTTAATAGAAATAACAATTTTCTTAGCAACTTGTTATTGCAAGTTTTAGCACATAGACACACAAGAAGGTATTTTCCTGGAAAAAGGACAGAAATCATTTATTTACTTCCAGCATAGAAATATATGTTTACACTTTTCTTAGAATCTCCTTTTTTTACATTGAGGCGATCATTTCAATGTAAACTTTGTCCCTATGGTTCAAAACAACACGGAGAGTGCAGAATGTTTTCTGTGTCTGAAAGTAGTTTCACTCATGGAGTGACTGTGCTTGTTTGTAGCTACAGTGGTGGTGGGGATATAAAAACAAATTACCTCTGGTTTTGAGAGCACTGTGGGTGTCATTGTCAAGATGAATATCTGGAAAACTACCATTGTGGGACCTTTTTCTAGCAGAAGGGTAATCTCGAGTCAGTTAGCCTTTCCAACTGCTATGGAAACAGGGCCCAGTAATGTTGATCATTTGAAAACCTTTTCTTCGAATGGCAGCTCCATTCCATTTCCCAGACCTGTCTGCTTGTGTACACAAGTATTTTTGTAGATCTTTGTGGACTGGTTTTATATTTCACCTGTCGAGATTTTTGTTGAGCCTTTGACTCTGTCTGGTGATATTAATTTCAAGGTGTACTCTGCTGCTAGAAAGAAAGCTCAACTTTATCACTAAACATGTCTAAGGAGTTTGTAGATTGGAGGAACATGTGTCCATATCCATAACCCCCGGGAAATACGTTTATCCACGTTAGTGGGAACATTTCCCCACAAAATTCTGCTCTGGCAGAGACCTGTTCGGTGGCAGGAGCTGCTCTGTACAGTTAAACTGAATGCAAGAGTATTTCTGTTTGAAGGTGTTCATGGCCGGAATCACTGGATTGTTGTGCGTTGTTTTGGGCTGTATGGCCATGTTCCAGTAGCATTTTCTCCTGCCGCAGATGCAGATGAAACATCAAGAGAAAATACTACTGGAACAGTATTTATATTTTGCCCTTCTCTCCCCGAAGGGGACTCAGGGCAGATTACAATGCATATACACGGCAAACATTCAATGTCATTTTTGACATACAAGACATACAGACAGATAGAGGTCATTCAGCAGTTTTTCCACTTCTACTTTGGATCCTGGAGGATGCTCGATTCCAACCACAGAGGGATCTGCCACTTCATCCACTGTGACGATGAGCCTTTTGATCCAGTATTTCCTCCTTGCTCTCCGGCATTTTTATGGTGTCATAAATTAACCTCGCTGCTTTATGTGGTCCATAATTTTTCTACTCACAGCACAGCTGTTTTTGAACTGTTTAGGTGAACAGTACGCTGGGCTATTTAACAATCAGGGGCTCAACCCTGATTCGGGCTTCGAACTTGCCACCTTTTAGTTGGCAGTGATTTATTGCTGCTAGCGATTAACCAGCTGTGCTACCAGCCCGGCCCTCCATTTTTCTACTTCAGTAATTGAGGGTAGAATCATAGAACTGGAAGAGATTACAAGAATCATCCAGTTCAACTCCCTGCCATGTTGGAACATACAATCAATGCACTATTTCACTTCAAGAATTTCACAAACAGCTTCAGCAAATTGCCCTGTAAGAGGTGTGGACACTGGGGAAGTAACAGTATTAGATTCCCTGTTATGAGAGTAGGGAGCTGGCAGTGATGTGCTGTCCTCCAGCTACTTCTGGCAGGAGAAACATGCATTATCTTTTTCATTCACTGAGGAGGCAACAATTCCTTTGTATTTGGTGTATGCCATTAGCCACCATTTCATTTATTTTAAAAGATATGAAAACATCTCTTCTCTGGCATCAGCTGAAAGGGCAACCCAAATCACACACACCTGCCCACACACAAACACACAAGCTGCTTCTGGCATTTAATTGTACCAAACTGAAGATGATATATCTGTTACCCGAGGACAAAAGAGTGATTTTTATTGCATAATTCTCATGAGGCTTCTGCTTTTACCATCAGAGCTTTTGCTGTTATTTCATTTCCTTGAACATCTGTTCATTGAACTAAAGCAGTTGTAGGCAACAGCAGCAGTTCCCTGGACCAATTTTCTTCCCCTGTGACCCTCTGTTGTTAAAGCATTCATAAATCCATGCTTCACACCCCTAGGAAAAGTTTTTAAAGCATTTATTTCTTAGAAAACTAATTTTAGTTGCTACACTGTCAAATAGAAACATCTCAGAATGAATGCATTTTCATTGAGAGGTAATCTGTGTGTGTTCATTGACCCTTCAGCTTCAGCCAGGATTTGTGCTGAAGGTTGATATCTTGTTTTTTCAGTCAAGTATCAATCTGCCACTTTTGTCTGAGTGAAAGTGAAAATGGCACACGCTGGATATTCAATGGGAAGTAGTAATTTATTGAAGACAGATCATTCAGCCTACTGGATTTTCTTGTTTGTTTTCTTTCTAGTCATCAGAAGACAGATTTCTGCTTTTACACTATCTCTGGTTGAGAGCATACATTGCCCTTCACTGGGAGCTATAACCTGGTCCTTTGCCTCACCTGTCGCAAGGCATCAAAATGGATCTGTATGGACCAGCCAAAGGTTCCCTTTATTTAATGGCCTTACAGGGGGTTTCAGATCCTTTTATTCCAGCAAGCATTTCTGGTGAAGGAATGCTTGTCACTGCTTTCTTACAACCTATTTTCCTGCTACTGAAAAAGGAAAAAATGACTTTTTCAATAGAGGTCTGGAGGGTAGTATACTCCATCCATGTGATTTTGCGTACTCTGATGGAGAGGGTGATAGCCACCCTATTTTTGATTAGTTCTTTCCACCTTTGATTTATATTTCTTCATTTTATTTAGCAATCTTGTTAATTTTTTATGTAGTATATTTAGCCTTGGAGGCCCCGGTGGCGCGGTGGGTTAAACCACTGAGCTGCTGAACTTCCTGACCCAAAGGTCGCAAATTCAAATCGGGGGGCGGCGTGAGCTCCCGCTGTTAGCCCAAGCTTCTGCCAACCTAGTAGTTGGAAAACATGCAAATGTGAGTAGAACAATAGGTACCGCTCCAGCGGGAAGGTAACAACGCTGCATGCAAACATGCCGGCCACATGACCTTGTATGTGTCTACAGACAACGTCAGCTCTTCGGCTCAGAAATGGAGATGAGCACCTACAAAATGAAAGGCTTTCAAGTCGTTGACGTTCATTGACCCTGTTTCAGCAACCAACCCATTCTAGACTAGGTTTCTTAAACTTTTTCCATTTGTGATCCCTTTCTGCCCAATAAATTTTTACATTTGATGTTTATAAAGTATATAATTTTTTACTTTATACATACATAAAGTAGGAATGCAAATCAAACATTTCCAACGTATTTATGGCAAAATGTAATGCCTCACATACATATGAAACTTAACATAAAACAACAATAGCATATACCATCAATTCGATCATAAACATGCAACAACTTTTGGACATTAAAAGGTGGAGTTAAAACATATTAATATAAACATTAAAATCACATAATCCAAAAATCGTAGTCTAGGCCATTCCAAATATCAATTGCACACAATCCCTGAGCATTCTTTGGATTGCTTTCTGCTCAAAGGCTTGGTCCCATGGCCAAGTTTTTAATTTTTTTTTTCTGAAAGCCAGGGGGGAGGGCACTGATCTAATTTCATTGGGGTGGGAGTTCCGTAATCAAGGAGTCACCATTGAGAAGGCCCTGTCTCTCTTCCCCACCAGTTGCGCCTGCAAGGGAGGCGGGACCAAGAGCAGAACCTCCCCAAACAATCTTAACCTCCAAGATATTTCATAGAGGGATTTGTCAATTTTGCTCTCTGTGACAAAAAACATGATGCCATCATTCACACATAGAAAATCACAACGTCATCCAAACTGGAGGTTCGAACCTTGACTGACAGATGTTTAGGGCTTCATTTCCCTGAATTGCTGACCATTGGCCATGCAAACTTCTAAGAGTTGAAACCAAAACATCTGGAGCATTAAAGGTTGAGAAACACTGCTATAAATAAACTCAGTGGGATTCAATTCTTGGTAAGCATGTGTAGAATAAGGTGTAAAGCGATTTAGTCCTAAATACTGAATCTGAGAATTGAGTGAACAAATATTTCCAAATAATATAAGTTAGGAATAAGTATGACTGTGTAAGTTTTAAACAAGTTCAGACGCTAAGTCAGTTATCTTCCTATCAAACATGCATAAAGGTCATATAGAAAGTAAGATCCACATGTATTAGGACTTTCTCAATTATAAAGGCAGTCCCCATGTTACAAACATCCAGCATACAAACAACTCAGTTAAGAATGGGGGTGAGACAACTGGAAGTGAGAGAAATCTACCTCTCGAAAAGGAAATTCTCTCCTGAAATATTTATGATGGAGAAAAGGTATCTCAGCTGAAGCTTTATTACCGATCTTTGTTTCCACAGCAAGCCATTTTTTTTTCAAAATCTAATAATCAGAGGGACAGAAAGTGAGGTGGAATCTTCTGAACAGGCAGCAAAACAAACACCATAGGGGTTTAACCCTTTCCTATGCTATCCAAAGCTAGAGTTATGCTTTAAAAAAGTACCTGTTCCGACTTACATACAAACCTACAGAACCTATCTTATTGGTAACTTGGGAACTGCCTGTATATGTAGTTTGTATCTTAGGAAGATAGTGTATTGTTATTTTGGTTTCAAAATTCAAAACTTGCAAAACTTCCTTAACTTCCTTCTGGTTTTGTTTTTTCATAGCCATATTGAGTATGAAAAAGATGGGCTGAAATACATGCGCTTAAAGTTCTACATTGAGGGCTCAGAAAAAGGAAAACAAGGGACTGTCCATCTAGAAGTGAAAGAGGTATGGCACCTTCTGTGGCCTATGTATACAATGTTTAATATTTAATGTTTAAATTGTTGCTTGCCAGAAAATTGATTCTGTCATCCTTTTTTAACAGAATCCTGAAAATGGAAAATATGAATATCGCTATATATTTGTGGATATTGATGTCTATCCGAGAAGAACCATAATAATTGAGGACAACAGATATTTAAATGCCTAAAAGAATATTTCATTCTTGTGATTCTTTTTCATGGTACTGCATTTCATAGAAATAGGAGAACTGGGGCAAATGTTGGCTGCAAGGTTGTACTATAACCTGATGAAATATTCATGTAATGCCAGTGGAATCAGTGATCTCATGTATAATTCTATGGGATAAATACAGGGAGTAGAGAATCGTGGATTTAATAGAAAATGCAAACAGTGTTGACGCACGTAATAAGAATTGGCAGCAGCCTATGACAGCAGCAAAGATATGATTCATCCAAGATGGTTAACAGTGAATCACAATTTTATACTCACACACACATTACTCGACTTTATAGAATTTCAAGATCAATTTCTCTGTTTGAATTTAGACTTCATACTGGTGCTTCAATAAAGAAAACATAAGAAACATACAAAATATCCTTGCTGTCCTTTTGTGCACAGAATTTATGTTCATATTAAGCTACGCCATTTCTGTTTATATTACTTGTTATAAGAGCACTACAAAGGCACAATATCATTCAGGTGGCAAACTGTTTTATGGGTTCTACTGCTACAGTAAGTGCTTTCTCATTCTAATATTTTGAGCTGAATAGACAGTTTGGGGAAGTTAAAATACTTCCCCAAAGTGCATACTCTCGTTTGTGAAAATAGTTTCCTTTTTCTATGGCTTTGCTGCCATTTTCTCCTCCCCATCTTCCTTTGCTTCATGACTGATCTCATAGAATTGAGTCTCACCTAATTCAGATTGGGGAATATCTGATGCTCCAAATCAGGGGTTTCAAATTCATTTTCATCAAGGGTCACATCAGTCTTATCATTGCTTTCAAAGGGCCAATGAATCAATGGATGGAGAATCCATGGATACAGAGGACCAACTATATATATATATATATATAATAGTGGTCCAAGTGCTCTTTAGTTTTTATCAGAGTTGAGTCCCCAGAAGGTATTGAATGACAACTCCCATCACGTCTGGTTATCTACCATTTGGACTGGGAATAATGGGAATTGTAAACCAACAGCCCTTGTGGCTCTGAGGTTGAGGGAAGGTTAAAGGAAATTTTAAAGTCAGGTATTATATCCACAAGCCATTTATTTAAATTGAAAACTCACTAATCTGACTAAATAGAACAAACTACAACCTTCCTGATGTTATTGTATCAAAGCTCCCATCAGCTCTAGTCATGAGATCTAATGATGAGAAATACAGGGGTTTTAATCCAGCATCTGGAAGGCCACATAAAATAATATGATGGGCTGGATTTGGCTCACAGGTCTTGTGTTTGACACATGTGCTCCAGATGTTGCCACATAAAAGCTGCCATTACTGTATGTCTGAACATTAGCTGTGCTGGGTAAAACTCTTGGGAGTTGAAATCCAACAACATTAAAAGAGTTGTATGTCTTCCATCAATGATGTAGTCTTGAGTTAACATCAGAACATTAGCTCACCAAGTATCTTTCTCTGTTCAATGTGAGTAAAGACAAAGCCAGTTAAGTGTGACAGCAGTTTCTCTTGGCTCTGTCACATTAGGGATGCAAATGAGTCGGAGAACATATAATCATTATGAAAACATAGCCAGTCAGCTTGGCTATATGCTATTGTCAGTGAGGCCCCTTCTATACTGCAATGCAAAATCCAGATTATCTGCTTTGAACTGGATTATATGGCAGTGTAGACTCATATAATCCAGTTCAAAACAGATAATGGGATTATCTGCTTTGATAAACTAGATTATATGGCAGTGTAGAAGGCCCAAGAGTGAGCGAACCCATGACATGGGCATAGTCCTCTTGTACCAAATAGAAAAAGTTTACTCATCACTGCTGCTTTTTTTTGGACATAGGTTTGAAAGGGATTGTCTTGTTAGTGTTCATCATAGGAAAGGAAAAGTAGGTGGAGAGATATCTCGTGATCCTGATAGCTCCTCTCGGCCGGGTTCTTCATGACCGCTTGGTGGAAGTTGTTATCCATGTTGAAACTAACTCATTGAAACTAACTCATTTGACATGGATATGCTTCTATTTACTCCAAATTCCATGATCGATGATATTAAAGTCAGAGATATTTAAATATATATATACACAGTTGTAAGGGTATGATTAGCTGTAACAAGTTACAGAAAGATGCAAAGTAGGGCCCTGGCCATAAATCTTCAAAGAATTATATCATGATTCTGACCCACCAAGGTGATTCCCCAGTGCTGCTGCCATTTGTGCTCCCCCAAGTCTTTTTCCCTCGCCCATAGCTGCCCAGTTCAGGGGATGCTTTGATTGTGCTTTTCCTGAATGGCAAAAGGGAATTGGATTGGGTTGGCCCTGAGGTCTTCCACTGACATACTGTTAAGCTTTAAAAAGGCAAAGGTTTCCCCTTGACATTAAATCTAGTCATGTCCAACTCTGGGGCGGGGGGGTGCTCACCTCCATTTCTAAGCTGAAGAGCCAACATTGTCCATAGGCCCCTCCAGGTCATGTGGCCAACATGGCTGCACGGAGCGCCATTACCTTTCCACAGAAGCAGTACCTATTGATCTACTCAGCTTTACATACCTGGTGCTCACCTCCAGGTCATGTGGCCAACATGGCTGCATGGAGCGCCATTACCTTTCCGCAGAAGCAGTACCTATTGATCTACTCAGATTTGCATGTTTTTGAACTGCTTGGTTGGCAGAAGCTGGGCCTAGCAGGAGCTCATTCCACTCCCCAGATTCGAACCGCCAACCTTTCAGTCAGCAAGTTCAGTAGCTCAGCAGTTTAACCTGCTGCACCACCGGGGTCTCAATAATCCACATTTCTGCTTTGAACTGGATTATCTGAATCTACGCTGCCATATAATCCAGTTCAAAGCAGATAATCTGGATTTTATATATGTGTGTAGAAGGGGCCTGAGAGATCTCAAACTGGCTGTCAGCTTTAAAAGTTTGAGGAGCCCTGAACTATAAGTTGTGATTCAGTCCTTTCAATAGCTCATCTGTATAGATAAGTGGAAGCAACATATCTGTTTACTAAACACCAGTGTCCTTGGAATGAAAACCTCTAAAGCAGGTGTTCTCAAACTGTGCTCCGTGGAGCCCTTGGGGCTCTGCGGGTGATACTCAGGGGCTCTATGGGGCCATTCTCCTTCCTGCTTCCTCCTTTTTCCTCCTAAGAAATACAGAGAAATTAACGGTTTTTGCTGCTATAGCAGAAGTGGTGTCTTTCCGGGACACAGACCCTTTCTCCCTCACCTCCCATACACTTCCCTGCCTCCCAGACACCTCCCACCCCCTCTTTCTTAGCTTCCAAAATCCTCTTTTCCTCCCATAGCTCAGGGGTACTTTAATTGGACCGGATGGTCCTGGGGTCTTCCACTGAAATATTTTTTAGTTTATGTAAATTAAAATTGTTCATTTTAAATATTGTATTGTTTTTTAAAAATCCAGGCGAGGCTTCTTTTGTATGATGCTGAAAATCAGTAAGGGGGAGTGCAGACATCACCCCATCCCCAAGAAGTGCTTTTGTCCTGTTTGAAAGCTGAGGAAAAGTTCAGAATAGCCAGGAATGTTACATGATTTCTCTTAAGGTAAAGAATACTACCATCTAGTGGTACATAGGGAAAATTGTCTTGCTCATCTTGATGCATTGCTTTATTTTACCGAAAACGTTATATGGTTTAAGAGTATTCCTTAAATATGCATTTTTGCATTTAACTTCACAAAAATGAGACAAATTGTTTATTAATCAGCTAATGTTTATAATAACAAGCTTCCCATAGATAGGGCTCTTTTCATGAACTGCTAAGGGGAAGAAGTGGGAAAGGGTGCATATGATTTTCTGTACAATGTCCCAGAATATTTGTTAGATGTCAGAACAAACACAAAGCAATCTATGTAAGGAGAAAGTAAAATATCCAAAGAGCATATAGTCTATAATTTCATCAAAATTCCCAGTATACAGCTCAATACAGTGGCATAAAGCAATGTAAAAAGGAGCAACTCTTTGAATATTATACTTTCTCCTTCCATAGATTGCTTTGTGTTTGTTCTGCATATGATTTTCCCCACTTCCTCTTGTCCTTCCCAATACCACCTGCCTTTCCTTTCCAAATATCACCCTTTCAAAGTGGGTGTTTTTTTGTTTTTTGTTTTTTGTTGTTTTTTGCAGTGAGAGGATATGTCAAAATTTATTTATTTACTTACTTTATTTATTTTCTCCCCCTCAGGAGACTTAAGGCAGCTTACAACTCCGGTACAATTCAATACCAGTAAAATCAACAGTAAAAGCAATAACATACCACCTCCATTAAAATGGTTAATAATTAGACAATAAACATATTAAAATAGCAAACAGATTAAACCATATAAAGTGCATTGTTCCATTCATCCAGGACCTTGTTCATAATTTATATTCAAACCATATTTAAGCCCGTAGTCACTTACTCTTCAAACGCTTGTGTGCAAAGCCATGTCTTTAACTTTTTTCTAAAAACTAGAAGGGATGAGGCCTGCCTGATGTCACTGGGGAGGGAGTTCCACAGCCACGGGGCCACCACTGAGAAGGGTCTGTCTCTCATCCCCTCCAATCGTGCTTGCGAAGAGGGTGGGACTAAGAACAGAGCCTTAAAGTTCCAGTAGGCTCATGTGAGGAGATATGTTCAGCTTCCTCCTCTTTCCTTCTAAGAAATGCAGGGAAACCACTCCTGCTATAGGAGTGTAAAGTAGATTTATTCTTTAAATACAAGAGTGCAACATATACCAGTTAGAACCAAAAGTATTATGGCTTCTAAGGCCCATCTGCAGTATATCTAGAGGACTGGCCATATTTATTTCCCCCTATCCTCAGTATTTATGTCTGCCCTCTTTGTGGTGCCAAGAAGTTGGCTGTATTTAAATATTTCAGAGTTTGTTGAATGCTGGGAAAAGTTAAAGTTTAGAGTACTTTTGTAAAAAGAATAGAAGCCCTTCCAGCTGTCCGCTCCCAGTTTGTCCTATAAACTATACAAGTCTTCGTGAATTTGCTGGTGTTCAACAGAATCAAAGCAATTTACAAAATTTTGACTTACCGTAACTCAGCAGTTGATTCAACATATCATTAAATTGGGAGTAACAATGGGACTTAAACTATACTTTTTCCTAGTTCAGTGAATGGTTTTCATCTGATAGAGTACCTAAGATACCAAAAGAGTAACTAAGACTTTGATCTGCTCATATTTGTAGTGATAAATGACCAGGAATGCAGCTGGCACAAATCATCTGTTCCAAATTGACTGAGAATCTGGTTTAAAACCAGTATAATTATGCACTTCCAAGATTAATTGGGGACACCACCTAAAGAAGTTAGCTGACTTGTTGTACAATGAGGTCTATTATATATTTATAGAGAGCAGTAACTACCTTGTATCTTTTAAATGAGTAAGAAATATCAGGAATAGTAGGG